ATATATATATATATATATATATATATATATATATATATATATATATATATATATATATATATACATATATATATATATATATACACACACACACACACACACACACACACACACACACACACACACACACACATAGGTCAGCATGAAAGCTCACATGAAAGACCGGCAGCAGCACCGGGAATGAGAGAAGCGAAACAGAGGTCAGTGAATGATGCAATTTGAGCCAATCCTGAACTTACAGTTGCTGGGAGCAATAATGAAAAGAACTGCACCCGAAAAAAAATGAGCGGAGTTAGCGGGAACCATTGATTGGCATTGTGTTAACAGTATGATTAACCTATGGCCGTAGATTTTGAGCATTTACCTCACGAACCTCTCCACTTTTCACAACATTACTGAATGAATCTGGAAAAATAGAAGACCATTCTGTTCTGAGCAGTATGACCTGATATTGAAGTATGACAAAACCAACAGAATAATAAATCAGAAAAAAATTGAAACTGTTCGTTATAGCATAATTAGCTTCATATCACAATGAAGAAATACTTCAAGAAATACTGATTGAGCAAGGTAGACCTGGATGATCCACTGGAGGAATAATCCAAGCGACACTGCAACTGCTAAAATCTTTCCACCTATACAGCGAAGTAGAAACCATACGAGCGGGATTATTGACAATTATTGAAGGAGGTAGTGAACATTTTCCTAACTCACCGGTAGAAGGAGCATTTAACCTTCTGCTAAAAATGTGAATGAGACACTGCAGTATTTTGTAATACTATTAGAATCTTATATAAAAAAATAAAAAATAAAAAGATATGGATATTGCGAGCAAGAAAAAGCTAGAGAGAGAAACGATGCAATGTGAACAATATGAATTGGGATTCACTTACACCAACAATCAGGAGTGAGCTGGAAAAAGCAGGGCTAATGGAAGGGAGAGCATTATTTCCTTCTGCACTGATAGCCCAGGGGGTGGGGTTTCATTAGACAGTGGACAACTTGATGCTCGACAAAATTAATGAGGAAAGAACATACCTCATGTATCCAAAGCCAAGCCCAACAGGACCTGCAAGAACTATGCATGGTGCCATTATCTTCAGCTGATCACGAAACAACAGAAAACAATTATTAATAGGAAAAAGTAGAAAAAAAGAAAATCATTTTCGTAAAATACTTCCAGAAAATAGGTATACACTGAGCTGCTGAGGAGATGGTTGTTAAGTTGACTAGTTATACAAGACATCTAAAGACCATTACCAGCATTTACTAGAGGTATAGTTATACAAGACATCTAAAGACCATTACCAGCATTTACTAGAGGTAGGTGTATCAGCAACGGAATTAAACGAAAACTTAAATGCATACGAAAATGGCAAGGTTTTAAGCTAAGACTAACTTATGTACTTTTCGCTTAAAATGGAATATAAAATGTCTAGAAATATATACATAACTCTTGAGGCAATTATCAAATCCTTAGATGACCAGCACAACCTACCTGATCCATAGCCATTTCTCGTATTATTTTTCCTTCCACCAAGATCCATAATCTGTGAAGTCAGCGAGTAATATGTATATTTATCATTGTCCAAGAATTAACTAAATCTGTATTTAACTCTCCTTCATATTATAATCAATTTCTTACCCAGGTGCATAAATACGTAGTATGAGTTCCGGAAAGATATAAACAAGAGCACCTGCAACACCTCCTATCTGCATGGCACCACTAACTATCATGAACTGGGTTATGAGCTCAATAAAAACAAATAACAAAAAGGTGGATCGGCAGTACGCATACCAGAAACAAGATGGTTGTCAGATGTAGAAATAGCTTCTTTCCTCGCTCCTTCGGGAGTTTACTGATAAATTTTATTCATAAATGCCAAAACAGAGAACTAAAATAGAATATACATATATGGTAAGTCCAATGATTCAAGAACCAAAAAGATGTGAATAATGAGCAGATTATTACACGTACAAAAACATATACAAAATGCATAATCAGCATCACTAAGGATGATGCATTACCTTAAAGTTGTAGCCATGATAATGTGGATAGGACCATTTACACCTGCACGAGACATATAACCAGCCACAAATTAGTTGGTGCAAAGTAAATATGTAACGGTGATGTCACTTGATATAAACATTGAACTTCAACCTGTCTACGCAAATAATACCGAACTGCAGTCAACTGTCCACTATCATGCATCCCAAAACATATGTAAATCTATATTACATCCTTTGTAATGAGTCAACATATTACAATACTTAGTCAAATCATTAGAAATTATCAATGAAGAAGGACTAACCTCCAAGAAGCGATGACGAGAAACCAGGCAAAACCCAAGCATACCTGAAAATATAACCACCAAAATTCAAATCAAACAGAATGTTCTTTCAACTATACTTCTCGACGGAAATATATCAACAGCCCATGAGGTAATTAGTGAAAATTCAGAGTACTTGAAAGCCGAGACAACCGGACCAACACCAAAAACTGAAGCCATCGTAACTTCTCTAAGTAAACCCTGCACCCATCCAGACAATGAAATTAATTAATTCCAATAATACATAGACATCACTCATCAGTAACCCCAAATTAAGAAGAAGAAAAATTGCAGAAGAATCACCAAAATTTTGCTAGTTAGAGTAGCCACACCAACCCATGTAGCAGCGCTAGCTGAATTACCGCCTGTATCATAACTGAAATTTATTAATTAATATCTAAACAGAACGCATCTATTAATTTAGGGGAAATTTATAAAATGAAAGCTAGGGCTGTAGAAATACGAACATTTGGGTGCTGCAATTTTTCTGAGCGGTGAATCATCTTCGCACGGCGAATCAAACTGATTTTCCGTACAAAATGCGATCTGAATTCCTCTCAATCGGCCGCGAAATGGTTTCGCCGGTGCGTACCGGAAAATTGGGGGTGGGAAAATCTGCAACGGCGGATTATGGAGAGGATAATTAATGGGAGAATGAACATTGAATAATGCAATTCGCGCACTAATCATTTCTGCACAACAAAAAAAATTAAAATTTGATGAATTCTATAATCGCCACCGGAGATTTGAGTGAAATTTTCGAACGAGCGAATCGGAACGTTCGGCGGCGTCGTTTTTATACCCCGTTGGCGCCAAAAACAAATTGCGGGTGCGCCAAAATGAATTAACCGAGGCTGCCGGCGGAGATTAACACGTGGCTAATCTCAATTAAGACAAATTTTGTTATAATTGTCTCGATATATAAATTAATTTGAATTAATTTCGGATTTTGGCTGTATCACTCTTTCCTTTGCAAGAAATTACAAGGACCTAATTATAAAAGATAAAAATGTTGTTTGCATCAAAGTATTTTATACAAAAAATAAAGTGTAAATTACATCTAACCCCTGAGGTATGCTAAAATAACTTTAATGTCCATGTGGTATTGGTAATTACAGACACACCCCTGAAACAATTACCAAAGCCAAGATTTCATGTCCCGGAGGCCGATATGCACTATATTTATTTCCCGCGGGGCCGTTAATGCTACCGTGGACAAAATAAATTAAAAATCTTATATAAAATAGTAAAGATTTAAGAAGTGTTATGAGAGCTATGTCACCACCTACATCTATGTTGTCTTCCCGCTGTCTGGAACTAATGGTCCGTTAGAATAAGTTATCCAATGCATTATTTTCGTTAGGGTTTCTAACAATGTTTCAGGGAGTGATTGTCATTATCGATACTGCAGGGACCTTAAATTATTTTAGCATACCTCAGAAGTGTATTGGATCTCACTGGAGGAGTTTGGGCTTTTTCTACTTCGGGCCCAATTACATCATATTTGTTGTGAAAGATTTAGCCCAATAGGCCCAAGGGTTAAATAGTCATCATATTTATCATATATATAAATATAGGGATAATTAGCTATACCCCCCTTATTTCAAACTTATATGGCTATGAGTCCAATGTGTTAGATTAGTATAGCTATAGGCCCTTTGACCAAAATTTTTAATTAAATTAATTAAAATTATAAGCCTACGGACATAAATACCCTTCCAGTAAATTATTTAATTAAGGAAGCAGTTAATTCAGTAAATTACGTTGAATAAATCCCAAATATCACGTTGTAAGATTTGGAAGGAAGTTATGAGACGTGGGTTGAAAAAAAAAATATCGGGAGTTTATCCGTGGTAGAATTAAAGAACTCATTCATCGTTATAAGATCTTAGAATTGTATGGCTTTAGTTTCGTGAAATCTAATGCAATTAGGTATATTTTTGTTTTTCGTATTGCTATCAACATGAAGAGGAGCTACGTCAATAGGTTTGTTTTGTTGTTGGAAAGGAGTTATGAAACGTGGTTGATTCATCTTTGACGACACTCTTATTTTATTTCGCAAAATCTCTGGTTTAGATTTCGAGATTGAAATTCGAAATCAGACTTTTGATTCAATTTGGCAGGCATTAAATTAAATTTTGTGATTTTTTTAGGGTTGATGGTGCAAGATTGAAGGAGAAGATGACCATACAGAAAGTGATTGAGCCCGATTCACATATGTTCTCTTTATTTGCTCATCAGGAGAAGATTTCATTTAGGTTTTTTTTTCGTGCAAACCAAAACGAGTACAAAATGGCTCGCTCGTTCTCAGCCGATAAATTCATTCCGTATTTAATCGTCAGAGCAGTTCCGTATCTAGAGGCTCAAGGACATCGACTAAATCTGATAATTTTGAGACGAAAATTGTGTTTGTTGTTTGCTATTTTTTTTACACTTTGTTGTTATATATTCATTTTTTGTTGTTAGTATGGTACTATTTGCACTTTGCTTTTAATTCTTGCAGTTTATGTATATAATGTGTTTTTGCTCGAATATATTTTTACTCTTTTGCTGCTTTTGTTTACTGTTTTAAGTTTTTTTTTTCATACATGATTGTCACTGTTAATATATGTTATGTAAATATCAAAATTTAAAAATCCATTCATAATTCAAACATCAAACAGCAAAACATCATGTTATAATGTCCATATCGAACAACAAACATCAAGTTTTTTTCATCTATTTATGTCGATTTGCACAATTTTCGATGTTGGTGGTTTTTTGTTTTGCATTTTGCTGTTTCTAGCAGACTATATTTTACACTTTGATGTTATATATTTTTTTTTTGAGTTGTTGGCATGGTATTGTTTGCAATTTTGATTTTTATGTTTGCAGTTTGCATATACGATGTGTTTGTTGCTCGACTATATTTGTGCATGTTGTTGCATTTTGCTGTTTCTAGCAGACTATATTTTACACTTTGATGTTATATATTTTTTTTTTGAGTTGTTGGCATGGTATTGTTTGCACTTTTGATTTTTATGTTTGCCATTTGCATATACGATGTGTTTGTTGCTCGACTATATTTGTGCATGTTGATGTTATATATGATGTAATTTTTTGGTATAATATTATCTACACTTTTGACGCCATATATTTATTTTTGCAGGTGGTATTGTATTATTTGAACTTTGCCTTTTCTTTTTGCAGTTTGCTTATAAATTACAATAGCAAAATGCAAACTATAACAGCGGAATGAAGACTAAAGCCTTGTGAGAATTTTGTTGCAGCAGTGTATAGCATAACAAAAATCGACTAAAGCCCTTTGACACTTTGCCTGTTTTTTTTAACAATGTACTGAATTTATAAGAACTTATGAATTGGCAAGCATATACCAATCGACAAAATAACTGCATGAATTTGGAATATATTAGAAAATAGTTCATATCAAAATCCAACAAAAATATAATGCCACAAATAAAAATCAAAGCTCTGCTAAACATAAGTAAATATCATAAAAAAAAATCTAATTAAACTCAACGATATCCTCGTCGTTCAAGAACTGATAATTAAAAGTTTTTCGAGTGCGATAACCCCCCTTCCTGGAGTTTTCTCACTAATGGTTGTTGCATGCACAACTGCCTTGCCATATACAAGACAAAAATCCCACAATCAACCAAATCTGGTTTGTTGAGGCGATGTCGAAACTTAATATGGCTTTGTGTTATCGTGCAAATAGATTTGGCTTGATTCATCGTTGCTTCCCTCTTTTTGAAGAGGCAAATAATTCATCTATTTTCCTCTCCCGTTTCGTCAAATCAACTGTTCAATTGAAAAAAAAAATTTATTGGACAACCATGTCGGTACCTATGCAAAATGCAAAATGAAAAAAAAAACATCAAAGTGCAAAACGCAAAATGCAAAATAAATATCAAAGTGCAAAATACACTACGCTAGAAACAACAAATCGCAAACAGAAAGAAAAAAACAACGAAATCGAATATATGTTGCAATCGACACCAGAAAATAACATGAACAAAAATAAAAAACAAATGTATCACAAAACAGCAAAATGAAAACACAAAATAATGTAACACATACCAGGAAACTCCAAACAAACAATCAACGGATTTAG